ATTCAACTCCAGTTCGTCCTCAAATCCCACCTTTAGCCCTACCCACCCTTGCTTAGGACCAGCCTTTAAAGGTCAGCTTGGCCAAAACTTTGGAAAGGCACAATACATTTTCAGTCCTTTAATACGTTTTTCAGTAAAGTACGATTTACAATCCCCATAATTTAACCATGTATACTATTTTGACAGTTCAAAACACATATTGGTACAATACTAATTGCAGATCCCTGCTTGAAGTATATGTCAACGAGAACTATTCAAGTAAGCTTACAAGGAACGACGTCTTCGACATCAAGAAAAAAAAGCAATCAGGCTTCTCGAAAGATTTAATGCGCACACGTGGCAAACCACGACTATAAAGGAAGCCGCACTCGCTCAGAAATTGATCAAGTTCTCCTTCGAGGGAACACTGCCAGTCGGCGTCTTCGAGATCGAAAATCTCCCAGTTATACTACAAAATATCTAAGGCAACGCTGTTTGAGAACAGTTAGCCCAAGATGGCCACCAGAAAACACTACTATAAGGCGTAGTCTACAGAATCTACAGAAAATCTCTTAACACTGTATAGGTTAACATTATGGTGTTCAGCGTAAAGCGCTGAGGAACCCGGTGAAGTAAATACGGATGCTGGATGCATTTGTCTAGCTTGGTGAGCTTTGAGTGAACCATCCACTGGGCAGAAGAATAACTGGCCGACGTGGTAAGCCCAGAGCGCATAATAGGCCTTAACGCATGGCAAAAAGCCACAAACGGCGAGATTTTTCTTCGCAGTATGAGCGCAGCGATCGGTTCAGCGAAGCCGATCGCTGCGCTCATACCTTTGTCATAGTTTTTCTTCAGTACCAGCTTCACTGGTACAGGTCGTTGCCGCCCTGTGCGGATCCATTTCACGGTACCAGGGGAAATCGAGGCATTATTGAAGCGGAAAAGCTGCAAAGCCACATCGAAAGCACTGAGGTTTTCCAATACAAAAAGTGTATTTTGAGACCTTATTTAGCCCTCCGGCATGAGCGCAAGCGATCTAGATCGACAGACACCCTGGTCCCGTGTCCGTGTAGAGGAGAAGGCGGCTATCTTCCTTTACAGCATTGCAAAGAACGCCTCGAACAGCGATCTTCAAGAGCGCTTTCAGCACAGCGGAGATACCATTCATCGGTGCGTTTTCAAATTGTGGTTACGTCTGTGCTTTGACTTACCCTTTGGTTTCACTTAAGCAGGCATTTTTACCGTGTTCTTGATGTTGTCTGTAACATGGCAAGCCCATATCTCGTCCAACCAACCACCCCATCAGAGCTACTACAAAATGAACCAAAATATGCTGGTCAATTCGATCAATGTCGCCTTGCATTTGATGGCACGCACATTCCTGCCTACGTACCCAGCGAAAAAGCGAAGCCATTCCGTGATAGGACTGGTAAACTCAGTCAGAACGTGTTTGCTGCGTGTACATTCGACATGCAGTTCGTCTACGTGCTCTCAGGTTGGGAAGGTAGGTACCGTATTTTCCAATCATACACTTAACGTATCAGCTAATAAACTCTATATAGGTTCTGCTGCAGATTCGACGGTGCTTGCCGACGCAAGGCGAAAGGGATTTAGGACCCCGCTGGGCTTGTTTGACCTCGGTGATGCTGGGTACGGTCTAACTACAGAAGTTATGACTCCATATCGTGGCGTTCGTTATCATTTGAAGGAGTGGGGACAATCAGACGAAAGGTGCGTCTAATATCTATTTAGAATCTGCTAAAGCGCTAACGCTAGGTTGTGCAGGCCTCAGAATTATAAAGAATTGTATAATCTAAGACATGCGCAAGCTCCCAACGTCATCGAAAGGGCTTTTGGCGTGTTGAAGCGGAGATTTCCTATATTGAAGCAAACGCCAGAGTATTCGGTAGAAACGCAGGCAAAAATTGTTCGAGCTTGCTGTGTGCTCCACAATTTTATCAGGCTTCAGGAGGATTTACCGGATGATCCAGAAGGCGAGTTGGAAGAAGAAGATTCTGACGATGAGCGTCCTGATACCAACTACCCTGAGCGTAACACCACTGGAAATTATCGGCGAGCGAGCAATCTTCGTGATCTACTAGCAAAGAACATGTGGGATTCGTATGTAGCTTTTCAACGTTAACGAATTAACATGCAGCAATGAACTTGTGCTCTCCTCGCATAGCTCTTACTGAGATCTTGCAATTGTTTATTCAGCCACGCATCCCGGGCTGGTCCGGCTTCCATTACCAAAAATCCCATTGCTTTTTTTTTCATCCAGCATCACGTCGAAAGCTCGAACAAGATATTCCGTTTGGAGGTCGTTGGCATAGTCCTTCTGGAGCAACTTGATGGCTCTCTGCGATGGTGTGAGAGCTCGCATTTTAGTAGTTCTATGACGCAATTCTGTAGCAACCTCACCAATCGCTTCAGCAATTAGTACACCACCGCTTTCGCTGCGCCTTTTCTTGGCACCTGTACGGCTTGCTGTTTTATGGATAGCAGCACTTCTTGGTTCTGGTGCAGGCTCCGGTTGCTGAGAGGGCACGGCTGAATCTGAGCTTGCAGCTTCGTCAATACCTGCAGGCTCCGAAGCTGTTGGTGCTTGTGTTAGTTGCGGAGCAGATGGACCGGTAACAAAGTCTCCTGGGCACGGCTCTTCAGAGGCTTATGCATAGTCTCCGGTAGCATATGTTCCCTTGAAGAGATCACGAAGGTCGTCAAACAATGGCATGGCCTTCCTACGGTAATCAACAACTTTTGGATGGCTCTATTCACAGTGAAACATTAGACAAATACAGTTTGTCAATGCTTGTAGTGTGCAATAGCTGTACCTTGACATAATCATCCCAAACGGAGTCATGCACTAGCACGACATGACGTTCATCATCCCAGCCAAATCCTGACGCATCCAGCATCGCCTTGATCGACGTATAGATGCCTTTCAGCTGTAATCAAACAAATGTATATTAGTTAGAGCCTGCACAAATATACTGTGAGCGATTTACGTACCGCTGTCAGTCTGGACTTGATCTGTTGCCTCGACAGCTTCGTCTGGAAACGGTTGTTGAA